TCATCTTCAGCAGCCAGAGCAGAGTTACAATACTAATGGTACCAATCACAATCTAGTTATACGTCCGTCTTGTCTTTTCTCTGAGTGTAGTGAGCCGGTCAGACCCTCTGGTTCACCCAGGTGCCTCATTCTCTCCAGGTCATAATAATCTTCTTTCTCTACTGATTCTGTTGCTTGTTCCCAAAGGGCCTTGACCATATCTGCTTATCATGTTTCAATTCACCACCCAGTGGTGCAGATCCTGCCAATCTGTCTGCCTGTTCATTACCCACCATGCCGGCATAGCCTGGAGAAAAGATCCAAAGTATGCTCTCTACCCGTGATCTTCCCAGTGAAGCTTGCCACTCTGCTCTAAGCATCAGTGCTAGGTACATGTTGGTATTCACAGCTATGGATATTCCATCCAATGTTTGAATGGGGGGCCACTAGCTCTGTTTCTGTTGTATCTAAGTAACAGGGCTCTTTGTCATGCACTATCATGTGGTAGTTTTGCACTCATTTGGTTCCAGCTTGTTTCCAGATATCGGCATTCCTGATTCTATCTCCTCTTGTTAGATTTATGGTGCCTTTGCTGTTAATTTGAGTCTGATACCTTGCCCGGCTCGCTAGCTCAGCTGGTTAAACCTGACAGTGCTGCGACTTGGTGACAAACTCCTTGTGGGCCGGGTTCATGCCCCGGGGTAGGCAGAAAAGCCACATTTCTCAAAGATTTACTGTATCTATCATGGAATTGAGGCCGAAGGGTTGCGATATCCACAGTAGCGTGCCAAAGGGTTAACAACTCATGGTTTCTGGATATTTTTTTAAAAAAAACACACGCTACATACCTTACAATAAACACTCACATGATAGGCCAGAGGAGATTCAATTCAAGCTACTGAAAAGACTGCACAAGGACAGAACAGAATGAACTACAAGCCATTTGTAATGTATAAAAAACACAAAAGAATGATATTCTCACAATCTGATCACAGATTGCTACAGAGCATGGAAGGATGACATGTAGAGATTGTATATTTAGACACAACTGTACAGGGCCAATAACTTATGTCTTCCCTCTGTGGATTCGGAGGTCCCATTTTGAGGGGTGGGTGGGGGGTAGAACAGACCCATTGCCACCCCAAACAATCATGTTGTAAAAGTGGACCAATTAGAGGTGTTTCCTTCTAAGTCGGAGTGCATCTGCCTGCAAGATGAGGAATCAACAGTCTGCACACAAATATAAAAGATCTGTCAAATGGATGTGCAGGCAAAACTCTAAATGTGCATGAACAGCCAGGACTTTTTGCCAGAGTGGTGAATATGAAGAAGAAAAAGAGAACTTAGTGTTATCAACTGAGCAGACCAGCCGGCAAGTATGGCAATACCGAATGCTGGAAGATGCAGGGACATAGAGCTGATATCATTGCTGCATAGACTAGGTTGGCAAATAATGAGGAATCTCTCATGCTAACACAATTAGGAGACTCTGGAGTGAAGCGACATCTTAGAGGTCAAGATAGGAAACACTGTAACCAACTTCGAATGGGAACAATCAGTAGAGATACCTTGGGGTGATGCACACAGGTGCCATCTCATAGATCAAGATAGGAGACACTGTAACCAACTTCTTATGGGAACAATCAGTAGATACCTTAGGGTGGCTGCTGCATCCGAGGACTGGGCATGAATAGGAATTACAAATGTGCAATGATATCAGCTGTGATAACATAGCAGTTTTGTCATCAAACAAAGTCTCAAGTTCATATCATGCCCTGATAGGCCTATGTATCCTTCAGAAGTCTCAAGTTCATATCATGCCCTGATAGGCCTATGTGTCCTTCAGAAGTCAGGTAATTTAAGAACTAAAACTCATCTGGAAGCAGTAAATTCTGAGCTCTGATAAAACATGGTGGACAAAGATGATCACCACCACAGCTCTGATAAACATGATGGACAAATATTATCATGACAGCTCTGATAAACAAGATAGATAAAGATGGATCACCACCACTCTGATTTAAAAATAAAAAAGGTGGGACAAAGATTATCACTACAGCTTTGATAAACATGGTGGACAAATATGGATAATTGCAGCTCTGATAAACATGGTAGACAAAGATGGATCAATACAGCTCTGATAAACATGGTAAAGTTCCCTTTTCACGCCTTTCGGCGCATCGGGCATATGGGCAGAGCGTCCCATGTTTTTACAGACCATCAGCACTCTGTGGGTAATGTGGTCAGCATTACGCCGGCTGTCTTTACTTTCCCAGGACAGCCCATCCTGGTACCCATTTTAGGCTGGGTCGACCTGCGACGTCCCATACCACGACAAAAATCCACGCAGCCTGCTGTGGGTTTCGATCGCGGTATGCTGGCTTACGAGTCGGACTCGCAACGCCTTAGCCACGGACGCCGCTGACAGATTATCACTACAGCTCTGATAAACATGGTGGATACAGATTTTCACTACAGCTCTGATAAACATGGTGGATACAGATTTTCACTATAGCTCTGATAAACATGATGGATACAGATTATCACTGTTCTGATAAACAGGGTGAACAAAGATTATCACTATGGCTCTGATAAACATGGTGAACAAAAGATTTACTTTCTCAGCTCAGTTATGGCCAACAGAGAGCACTACATCCCCATTAATCATGCTTACAAATATTGAAGTCGTTTTCACCTTCAATGCCACTAAATGCAAAATTCACTACATTCCAGTCCCTAGAATAATGTGTATGATTTTCTTTTCCTGATAAGTGTTGTTGTTTTTACATCTCTCATTTCAAAAATTAAAGTTACATCAACAAAAGAACAATGATGATAACAACACAGGAAGTAACAGCCGTCAAACTGCATTCAAGTGGTAACACAGTGTACACAAATATTAATAACTACTGCTACAAAAGAAATATAAAGCTTACTTCTTTGATTCCTGCATGGGGAAAACAATTCAAAATGCCATCTAACAATCAAACCCACAAAGTCCAGCAGGATTTGTAACCAAATGTTGCTCCAGAACACTGTATTGTTATATGTATAACCCCCCCTCCCCCCCCCAACTATGTAAAAAAAAAAAACATAATTTTTGTCTTAGCCCAATATTAAGAAATAAATATTTTAAATATACGCTGTATATAAGACGACTCCAGTTTTAAACTGACAAAATCTTAGGAAACATTTTGTATGCATGACAATATATATCAATTTTTGTTCAATATTTGGTTAAACGGGATGTCTCGAATGTTTTCCTTCTGGGTTTGAATCTAGAAGTGGTTCTTTAGGTTACCCCTGTCAATCGTTCAGGATGCAATGCTGGGGGGGTGGGGGCCGGGGAGGTGTTTGTTTAAATGCTTACAATCATGAAGTGCCCCAAGATAAGTGTTTTATTTGGATAGATGGTGAATGGGATTTGTTCCTGTTGGATACACCTGTTGGATACACATCTTAAAAGTGAATAACTTCTAGGCTGCATTCCTACAGAGACAAAAGTTGGGGGGGGGGGGGGGGGGGGGGGGGGCACATCTATATGTATGCATAAACATACTTTACCTGCGTCTGTATGTTAACTAAAGGCTAATATACTACGTATTATAATTCCCGAGTATTCTAATTTTCTATGTCGTTTATTAATTTTATAACATGTATTTTTCACAGACACTGATATAATATTCACTATCACTGGGCTATATTTTTCTTTCTAATCAAGGCACATCTTAACTCCTGTTTTGTGATTATATATCATATATATTGATGATATTATGTAACATTTGAACCATGCGGATAATTTCTTTCAATAACATCCAGTTGCTCACAATGATGTTTTTTAGCATAAACAACAGGAACAAAAGATTACCAGACATTGGTTACAATTATACCAAGGATGGGGATCGACTCGAGGGCTGCATAACGTCTGCAAAATTGGCTCTGACATCAGTATCAGCCAATGTCATATGCCTCGGCATAGACAAGCTGTTCAACCCATGACGTTCACAATCACCATGTAGCATGTCCTTTACAGAATGTCTCCGCCCATCACAGCCCACCTTGAAGAAACTCGGTTCCTTGCTACCTCATGCCATTTTCTGCCCACGGTCAGAGCCATCTTAACAGCAATATGGGTCCCTGGGCAAATCGTGTGCTGGGGCCCCTATAACTACCACTCATCATCATCGATCCCTGGTTGCCTGGAACAGCTCTCTTGATGATATAACTTGATGCCATCGTTTTAGCCCACCCAGTGTCATCTCTCTTGGTCTGCCTTTACCTCTACCCACTTTTCCACTGATCTTTCCAGTTGTTACGATGTTCTCCAATGCTCTCTTCTCATTACGTGACCAAAGAACAGTGTTTGTCTCTTTCATATTGTTGTACATAGAATGAAATGTAAAATGGTTAATAATACGGAACACATTTAAAGATTAAACTGGGGCCCCTATGTTCGTAGGGCCTCCTGGCAAGTGCCCAGCAAGCCATGCGTTAAGATAACTTTGCCCAATGTGTCTCTAATGTCCTGTATCCATCTCTGTGCTGGTCAGCCCATGCCCCTCTTACCCAGCGCCAACCCTTCTGCCACTGTTCTTTAACCATCACATCAGGGGTGGGTTAATTAAATGTTTGACCAAATAAATCAGGTTAACTTAAAGCTGATAATTGTGTATGGCCTGCAAATGATGTTATGAATATCCAAATGGCTACTGACAGAAAAAAAAAGTTCACCACCCTGATGCATTCTAACTAACATTGTTAAATTGCAGCATCTATAAGCATGACAAACAAATTGATGTTTCACTAAATTTCTTATAAGCATGACCTGAAAAATATATCCTTCTAGAACTCTGGTGTTGAAAGCTAATTCTGCCACAATAAAATTTGAGCAAACTCTCTCTCTCTCTCTCTCTACTTGAAACAAAGGTCTTCTCCCATTTAAGAATAACAAGAACCAAATACCACAATAACAAAAACTGAAGTTGCAGTTGAGATTTTCATTCCTAGTTCCAATACTATAGTCAGTCTGTGGTGACATTCTGGTTGTGCCTGTCATTTTCATATTCTACAAAGTCATCCAGAAGGCTAGGCCAGGCCTCTGTGTCATCATAGCTACTCAAATCCTCCCCTACCTGCTCGGTGAAATTAAGAAACATATCCCACGTGTCTTTAGGAATTCCTCTGATGCTGGTGTGCTTTTCCAAGAATTCCAACCACCGCTGCAGCACCGGTGGTTCATTCTGAGAAAATACCAACTTCCACAAGCTTATAGCCATATCTGTGGGTAAAGTTCTCTGAGCCGATGCAGTGTCCAGGCCAAATTTGTAAGTCCAACGATACAGATCTTTGAAGGCTTGTTTTTCATGAACTTCAGCCAATAGTTCTGGAAATTTACTCTGGATACCTTTTATAGAGTCTACTTTCATAGCCTTGCAACCCTGGACAAACTCAGTGCGTGAAAACTCACACATCGTCTCAGCACCAAACTTCCATGCCAGCACTAACACTATAAATTCTTCTGGCTTAACCTCAAGATCCATACAGAATCTTTCTATGCCGTCGGCTAAAATGCAGTCTTCCTCTGGATCCCTGTACTGCTCAAACATTGCCAGAATTTTGGCTTCCGACACTTCTCGAGATATGAGAGACAGGCGTTTGGCTTCAGCACTCACACCCTGCTTTTTAATTGGTGGGAGCTTTGGGTAAGGTGTGAACATTTTCCACTCAGAGCCAGGGGTGGTCACCGGAGGGTTCGGCTCTCCACAGCCGTTGTCCTTGCTGTCGGAAACGGGGATGCCGGCTATGTAGAGGGTGTGAGAGTGATTGGGATGGCCTGAGTCACTAGAACTGCCCGCCGGACTATTGGGCCCCTGCTTCTCACAGCACGGAGAAAGGCACTGACCCATTGACCTCTGCACACTCACCCTCAGTGTTGCATCTTGCCAACCTGCAGTGATAAATAAAATAAAACATATAACATAATGCAGACAAATGTATCTTTTAAATCAAATACAGTTTATTCTTCTGTTGGTTTTAGTCTTCTTTTGTTACTCCTTTCACCGTCTACTGTCATCTTGAAATCAGTTAAGTCACACTGTTTCGTCAAGCATAAGGCTAAGTACACTGGAATTTGACAAAGAAATTTGTTCAAGATTGCTCTTCCTAACCTTGTTGACAGTCAACATACAAGTAGCTGGGGCTTGTCTACCTCTTCATCTGATTCCCGTTCTATGTCCTGTTCAACAGCTGAGTTAAAAACCGATATAACAGCAAACAGAACATTCCCATTTGTGACCAATTAGCACTCACACTGGCCACCTTTACTATCGAGGACATTACCTGTACCCATTTTGGTCTGAAAGCCAAGATCATTTGTTTATAATTCGTAGAATTACAGAGGCAGATCTGAACCCAAAATCTTTAAGCTGGCACATGTGCTTCTTCTAAAAACTATGCTACCATGGCACCCTGTAACAATACAAAGATCTTTTGAACTCAACAGCACTGGGCAGGAATCAAAGAGGTTCTGATCAAAGTGGACGAAAGGCATAGTCCCTGTTTTCAGACATAGCAAATTTTTGTGTGTCTGACAGGCGGTGGCTGTAGCATTTTCCTCCTTTGCAGACCGAAAAGATATAGTTTCGTCATCCAGCTACTGAACGTGCATGGCGCGACACTGAGCTGCAGATTTCATTTGTAATGTTGTTTTAGCTGTGACCAATGTGTGGTGTTGTGTACTGTAGATACAGAAAATGGTGAGTGGCCTGTTGCCTCAGAATTGGTGGTGAATTAGATGATTAAAATTGATCATGTGTGCAGCTGCTGATCTGTCATAACTGCTATTTTCATCCATTTTGAACTGCATTTCTAATGTTAGACTGTTTGTGTTAGCAATTCTGATAGCTGCCTTATGCTTTTAACGGGTGACTGCAGTCTGTGCCAATTTTTCCTACATGGAACAGTGATGGGCTTACTGTAAGTTTTTCATTGGTACAAGAGCGGTGCTACTATGGCGTGAACAGTTTGCTATGAAGCTGACACTAAGATTACCAGATTACCACGGATCAAATGTGTATGTGTGTGTATATCAGATCACACATAGGAGAAGTACCTATATATTGTGTGGATATAGTGAGTAAAATAAACAACTCTTCTTAAGCCACGGTGTTTATGGTGCTATCACATATTTTTTTTTTAAATTTGGCACCTGATGGGTGATGTGATCAACATCACGCTTGCCACCTTGATTTACACCCTTACACTTGATTTCCTGGTATTGATTTTAGGCAGGGTTAACTTGCGAAGCAGATCCTTTTAAAAGAAAACTGCCCTGATACAGATTTGAACTCAAAACTTTTGGGTCAGCAGGTGAATCTAGATTCTCTAGATAGCTTTTCTCATCTGAAAACTGTACCTTGTTAGGAATTAAGAGAATTAAGAATTTAGGAATTAAGAGAATGCTCTAGTTTTAACTGCTGAGACAAAGGAAAATACAAGGAATTGGTGGAACTGAACAAACTAACAGTAAAAAAATACACAAGACCCCAATCAGCAGACTTAACAGAAAGCAACATTCAACAATTCTCCGTCTACGAACAAGACACTGCAGGCTCAACTACCACATACATAAAATAAAGATTGTACAGTCCCCACAGTGTGCCTGGCAGACAGGACCACAAACACCTGAGCATATTCTGCCTACAACTTTGAAAAAACACCTGGCCTCAAGAGTAAAGTGTGTACAACAAGCTATGCCACAAAGGACCTGCTGCTGACATGCGAGTGCATAGGGGCAACCCACCTAATATTCTGATCGGAGCATATGAAACCGAACGCAAAGAAGAAGAAGAACTGCTGAGAGATTTTTTTTTTAAAATCTATGTGTGCAGTATGCGAAGTCCACATGGCTTGCCTGACTTGTTTGCCAATATGCCAATATCTGAGAAAGTTAGACATTTAAATCCCTATGCCCAGGATTTAAGAAGAGTGAACCAACCTTTCTCTCTCTCTTTTTTATTTACAAATTCAAACAAGAAACATGGTGGGTTCAAACATAGTGTACTTCACGTCATGGCAGATACTGTACCTGTGACCTTAACAGGCAGGAGTAAATAATCCATTCTCTTCTTTTTTGCAAATATTCAAACAATCATTCTGTAGGACAAACTTAGCCTGCTTCAAGCAGATATTACAACCTTTAGGGGCGGAGTATATCATTCTTTTTTTGCGAACATTCAAAAAATCATTCTGTAGGACAAACTTAGCCTGCTTCAAGCAGATATTACAACCTTTAGGGGCGGAGTATACCATTCTTTTTGCAAACATTCAAACAATCATTCTGTAGGACAAACTTAGCCCTGCTTCAAGCAGATATTACAACCCTTGAGGGCGGAGTATACCATTCTTTTTGCGAATATTCAAACAATCATTCTGTAGGACAAATTAAGCCTGCTTCAAGCCGATATTACAACCTTTGGGTGCGGAGTATACCATTCTTTTTGCGAACATTCAAACAATCATTCTGTAGGACAAACTAAGCCTGCTTCAAGCAGATATTACAACCCTTGAGGGCGGAGTATACCATTCTTTTTGCGAATATTCAAACAATCATTCTGTAGGACAAACTTAGCCTGCTTCAAGCAAATATTACAACCTTTAGGGGCGGAGTATACCATTCTTTTTGCAAACATTCAAACAATCATTCTGTAGGAAAAACTTAGCCTGCTTCAAGCAAATATTACAACCCTTGAGGTTGGAGTATACCATTCTTTTTGCAAACATTCAAACAATCATTCTGTAGGACAAACTTAGCCTGCTTCAAGCAGATATTACAACCTTTGAGGTTGGAGTATACCATTCTTTTTGCGAACATTCAAACAATCATTCTGTAGGACAAATTAAGCCTGCTTCAAGCCGATATTACAACCTTTGGGTGTGGAGTATACCATTCTTTTTGCAAACATTCAACATGGCAATAGCGAGTGTGACTAGCAAGACCCGCCCGTGTCAAGAATAGTCTTCCACAATGATAGCATGGGATTTCAGGACCATTTTTGTTTAATCCGTTTCTTTTCAGACGCTCAGCTCTCATCCTTTCTGCAATCATTTCTTCCTTCAGTCTCATTCCCTTCCTGATATGCCCTTTCCACACAACACCGGTATTCTGTTCTCATGAGTCTGCCTCAATACCTTTATTACTCATGCCCCGCTTGCACACATCTTTATAACGTAGTAGAAGTCGGCATCGACATCTTCTTCCTGTCTTTAATTCACCATAAAAGATGTCCTTAGGGACTCTGCCATCCTCCATTCTCCAGGTGTGACGCAGCCACCTGAGCCTTCGTAGACTGAGCATGGAAAAGACTGTTGTAGTACCTGCTCTTTCCAGTACTTCAGTGTTTGTGATTTTGTCCTGCCACTTAATGCCAAGTATTCTTCTTAGGCATCGCATGTGAAAGCTATTGAGCCGTCTCTCCTGGTGCAAATAAGCTGACCAGGTTTCACTTCCATAAAGCAGAGTGCTGAGAACACAAGCCTGATAGACAAGAGTTTTTGTTTTAATTGTGAGCTTTCTGTTCTCCCAAACTCTCTTTGTCAATTTGCTAACTGTTGTTGCTGCCTTACCTATCCTGATGTTGATTTCTTGGTCCAGCGATAGTTTACTATTCACTGTGGAACCCAGATAGGTAAATGGTCTACTGTCTAAAGCTTTTCACCGTCAATGTAGACTGTAGGTCTGTCATTAAAACCTTGCACCATAACCTGTGTCTTCTTTTTGCTGACTGTTAGTCCAAATTCACAGCACGCATCAGCAAAGGCAGATAGTAAACATTGCAGCTCCTCCTCTGAGTTGGTGGTTATTGCGGCATCATCTGCAAACAGCAGCTCTCTGATAAGTACCTTTATTATCCAGGTTTTAGCCTTCAGCCTGCGAGCATTGTAAAGGCTGCCGTCAGATCGGGAATGAATGAAAATACCACCCTCCTGATCTCAAAAGGCATGTGTCAAAAGAAGAGAAAAGAATATTCCAAAGAGGGTAGGAGCAATGTTTACTGTAAGGGTTATTATATTTGGATCCTCTGGAAGAAGTATACCCATGAGTTTAGTATTGCCATTCGTAACTCCCTCGGACATTAATTAGACCTTGTGGGACAGAAAAAGTTAACCTTGTGTTAACAATTATCAGTGTAGTTATATAACAAGCAGTTATGAGTATGAATTACTGAGTGTATGTTGTGAGGTTACTCCAATTTGCATTTTAAAAAAGACAGAAAAATAAGATCAGTGATGTCTAGAGAAAATGGCATACAAGCACAGGAGTAATTATACCTTAGAAAAGAATATTCGGTCTAGAAAAAGCCACCATGGTAAAGCTTCTACTAATCAGTAACCACCACTTTTTTAAGAAGTGACTCTGGCTCAGTCTAAAATGGGTAGCAGGTTTAGTCCTTGCAAGGTAAGGTGGCTGGGCATGATGTTGACCACATCAACCATTTGATGCTGATTTGTCCATTAAAACTTGAGGTCTAGCACCATATACCTGATGCAGCAATGGTGCTTAAAGGATCCTTTTGTATTTAATAGTCTTCGTCTGTGGCTTTGGCTTTGCGAATGAGTTTCACTCTGCTGGCAAAGTCTTTTTCCTGCAGTCTTTGAGATTAATTATCTCATATTGGACAGAAACTCTCAGATATAAAGAAAAACCCTTAGTGCAATCATCGCCGAAAATCTTCACTGAGAATGAAAAAATGAAAATACAGCACTCCTCGACTCTCACCTAAAGCAGTCACTGAAATTCCTGATTTCCAAAAATGATACATTTAAATACATGAATAACTCAGCAACATGTAACGCAGGCCTTCTTGTTTACGCCTAGTTGCCAAAAGCTGAGAATGGTATCATCGGCAATCATTCATAATATAAGGTAACACAATCCTCTTAATAATGAGTTCTCTATAGTTATGAATATGCATGGCTCTCTGAAACTAGTTTATATGGCGTTATCTGGCAAAAACAGATCACACACTGTAAAGAAGAACTTGTACGTTCTAGGCAGATGTTACAATATCACAATTCATCCTGGTAAATATTGTGGCTTCTTCTGTCTCTTACATCAGGCACTTTAAAACATCACAACAAATGTTTAACTTTATATATTACCCAGCCAGTTGTTAATTTTGCTACATCTACACAGCCAGTTGTTAATTTTGCCACATCTATCCAGAGAGTTGTTACTTTAGCCACATCTATTCAGACACTTGTTACTTTAGCTACATAAAACCAGACAATTCTTACTTAAGCTACATCTATCTAGACATTATTCAGACACTTGTTACTTGAGCTACATCTGTCTAGATAATTGTTACTTTAGTTACATCCATTCAGACAGTTGCTGCTTTAGTTACACCTACCCTACCCAGACATTTGCTACATCTATCAAGATGTTTGTCTCTTTAGTTACACTTACCCTACCCAGACATTTGCTACTTCAGCTACACCTATCTAGACATTTGTTACTTTAGCTACATCTATCCAGACAGTTGTTACTTTAGTTACACCTACCATACCCAGACATTTGCTACTTTAGTGACATCTATCCACTTTAGTTACTTTAGCTACAGCTATTCAGCAAACAGTTGTTATTTTAGTTACATATATCCAGACAGTTGTTGCTTTAGTTACATTTACCCTACCAAGACATTTGCTTCTTTAGCAACATCTATCCAGACAGTTGGTTAATTTAGTTACATCTATCCAGACAATTGTTACTTTAGTTATATCTATCAGACAGTTGTCGCTTTAGTTACACCTACCCTACCAAGACATTTGCTACTTTAGCTAAATCTATTCAGACAGTTGGCTAATTTAGTTGCATCTATCCAGACAATTGTTACTTTAGTTATATCTATCATGACAGTTTTCACTTTAGTTACACTTACCCTTCCCACACATTTGCTACTTCAGCTACATCTATGCAGTTGTTACTTCAGCTACATTGATCCAGACAGTTGTCACTTTAGCTACATCTATCCAGACAGTTGCTACTTTAGTTACATTTATCCAGACAGTTGTTACTTTAGCTACATCTATCCAGTCATTGGTCGCTTTAGTTACACCTACCACACGCAGACATTTGATACTTCAGCGACATCTTTCCACTCAGTAGTTACTTTAGTTACAACTATCCTGACAGTTACTAAGAAGTTTGTGGAGGTAAAAAGAAATTAAAACTTATATGAAAATTTTTTATTTTAATGTCAAATCAGTAATGCTGTATAGAACAGAAACATGGAGAACAGCTAAGGCAATTACAAATAAACTACAAACATTCATTAACCGGTGCCTGCGCTGAATAGAGGGAATAAAATGGTATGATAGAATTAGTAATGTAGAGCTTTGGGAGAGAACAAAACAAGTTCCACAGGACCAAGAGGTGAAGAAAACATGCTGGCGTGAAACAGAACACACGTGAGAAAACCTGAGAACAATATAACTAGAATGTCTTTGCACTGGAACCCACAGAGGCATAGAAATAAAGGAAGAGCAAAAATACACATGGAGAAGGGAGCTAGAGAGTAAAGTGAAAAAGATGGGGAGGACATGGGGAGAGCTGCAATGCAATAGTGAAGGATAGAACGACGGCGTGAGTTGGTTGAGGGCCTATGCTCCATTGGGAGTTAGAAAGGTCAAAAGTCTGATAAATCCTGGACTATCTAGTAGATACATTATGACAACATAAATGCTAAATATTGTTGCCATTCGACTTGCTAAAAATCTGCTTCAAATAGCACGGTGACTATAGCTTTCGATTTTTATGTTGTCTAGTGTGTTCTTCAATCTTTCTACTTCTTTCTATGAGTGCCGATCAATACACTTTATGTTACTTGACTAATTCATAATATTTAATGGCTTCAAAGGTTCCCCCTCTGTTTATTTATAGTTATTCAAGTAGCTGCCTTGTCACAGAAACAAAGACATCAGTATGCTATTCTTTTCCCAGAATCCTTTAATCCCATTACAGCATTTTTAAATAGTATTTAAATTAAAAACAAGACAAGCAGTTTAGTAGTTTATAGTTAATCAAATTTGTCATGATGAACTCAAGATCCAACAAACAAGGTTATGTGTAAATTAATAATACCACCCTAGAATCAGAATAATAACAATTAACAGGAGCAACAGCGGGAGCAAGTGCTACAAATAACACACCCCTTCACATTTCCGAGAAATCCTTGATCGCCTCCTAGGATAACAAAATAAGTTATGACTTATATTACTGTCATTCATAACTGATAACAACAACACAGAAAATTTAAAGTTCTTCTATTTGCCTTGCTAAAATCTGCTTCAATCGGCTACAAATAGAAATTCGACGTCGGCTGCTATGTTGTTCTGTTTCAAGAACTCAAAAATTTCATTACAGCTATTTACGCAAATAAATAGTAAAATACGACTTCCACTGTTTACAATTTATTAAAATTTAGCACCTCGAGATCCCAAAGAACCCCGATGTAAACACCGCAAATTAGAATTACAGAAAACAACAACAACGTACAAATAACACACCCCTTCAAAATTCCGAGAAATCCTGGACCACCTAGATACATTACGACAACAGAACTAGTGCTGCCATTTGCCTTGCTAAAATCTGCTGTTTC